GCCACGCTTGGCAGGTGGTTAGCAACCGCAGTCAAGCTTCAGAGATGTTTTAAGAGGGACGCTTTTGCTCATCTCGCGCCCTCCCTTAGTCGGTTCTTGCAACACCCACGGTAGAAAAAGGGGTGGCCTATTCTATACCTATGGCATTTTCTATTATATATATAAAAATGTCAAAATAATTTAATTACATTACTCCCTCTTTTTGCACGGTCGTGCAAGAGCTCGGAATTTATGGCATAATAAAAAAAAATATACATACATACATACAGTCATAAATATCAATTCCTTCTAATGATCCGAAATATATATCCGCGAAACTCGTGTCGTATCAAATGAAATATTGTATTCGAAATGTAAGGAAACATTACAATATGTAACGTTTTATTTGCAAATAAATCGAAAAGTACATTATAAAGTGTTCTACTTCTACTCTTTAAACGTAAAGGGTACTTTTCGCAAAGCCCCATTGAGATGGTACTCCCGTTGTATGCTTACTGTAGCGACTTATTCTAACATGTTTGATATATTTACTTTGATGTAGGATATTAATAAATCTGTAAGTAGAATGAACTCATATATATATATATATATATATATATATATATATATATATATATATATATATATATATATATATAATGGACATAAATAATTTAATTACATGATACTCCCCATTTTTCCTAAAGACTCAGGTGTTATTCCTCTGTACCCTGTAAATTCACGCCATTACCCACCCTTCAAACTAATAAAAAAACAACTATACATAAACACATACAGTCATAAATATCAAAGTCTCCTTCGCTTATATTTGATCCGAAATATATATCCTCTACGAAACTTATTAGTGTTTTATCAAATGAAATATTGTATTCGGTATAATGAAAGTGAGAGATTACAATGAGAGCAACGTTTCGTACGAATTCCACTAGAATTAACCATGGTTTCAAGGAGGAACCGCGTGGAGGTCGACCTAATGGGGTATTTGCTAGTAATGAGGCTGTTAAAGATCATTATTAACAATCCCTTTCCCCCACGTTATTAGGGTAACTATTACTACTATCCCAACTTTATATGGATTTTTAGGGTTCCGTACCAATAAAGTACAAAAGAACCTTTATAGATAATGATGAAGTGAAAATATCGACTTTATTCTACTACATGTTTGATATATTTACTTTGATGTGAATCAATATATAAATCTTATTTGCTAACTTAGATATGACCTACCAGTGTACCAAATTTTATACAAATCCTATCAGTAATTTTTGCATGAAAGAGTAACAAATATCCATCCATTGTTACAAACTTATATATATATATATATGTATTGAATATAATAAAACTGTAACTGATCCCTGTCTGTACATAGAAGATATATGAGAAAAACTATTATGGAGGGAGGAGGGGGCTTTATGAACGCAATAGAATACAAAACAATGATTTTTTTGAATTTTTGTCGGTTTGTCTGTACATTTGTACACGCTAATCTCAGACACGGCTTAACCGATTTGAATGCTGTTTTCACTAATGCGTTGCGTTAGTTTTTGTTTTATTTCAATCGGTTAATAAATAAATAAATAAATATATATATATATATATATATATATATATATATATATATATATATATATATATATATATATATATATATATATATATATCAAAGAATCACATTTAAAATGGTATAAAATAACTGATCAATCGAATTGGCTGCAACTTTTTTATTGTACGTATTGATTTTCGAAAATTCTGACTACTCTTGCGAAGCCGGCTCGGATTGCTAGGTCATTTCACTCATAATCGTATTTTCTGATATTGCTCACAAGTTGGGTTACATGTTTATTTTTTTTTTATTTACTTCATTTTCTCGCACTGTATAATTATGTTAAAGTGAATGCTGTGAATACTTATAATAGGGATGTGCATTAATATTGTATTATATTTAATGTTTGTTATACTTATATGTTATAATGCAATATGCTGTTGGTGTACCTTAAATAAATAAACAAATAAAATAATATTAACAGAAATAAAATGACCATTTTCCACGTTATAAAATTAAAAATTACAAAACTCCAGATCAAATAGCATTGATTGATGACACTTAAAATATGTTATATTGATCAGTCACGACGTACGATGATTTTAAACATGGTAATGCGTGTGTAAACTGTGACGCGTATGTCAATTGATCGCCTTTTAAAGCAATGGCAACGACCTAATAGGGCAAAAAGCATACTAGTCTCTAGCCGCGACACCGCGCGTGACTGGGATCGTTAGTTTTTTTTTTTTTTTTTAAATGGGTGATAATGAAATAATAACCCCGCCTGCGCTAACGATATACGCTGGCGGGGCACCAGTGATAGATGACTGATGAAGATGAAAGCAGGTCAGTCAGCCCATACTGACGAATCGACTAGAATTAGCCACGATGGTTTCCAGGGGGAACCACGTGGAGGTCGACATGACAGGGTATATTGCTAGTAATGGGATTATTTAACCCCATTACTAACAATCCCTTTCCCCCCGGGATCGTTGGTTGACCCGAATAAAGTCTATGGCAGATAGCAAACGTATTGTTTGTCTGAAAGTTTGTAAAGTTTCATTAAAATCTGTTGAGCAGTTTCTGAGATGAGCATGAACCCGGGATTACTGGAGGGGAAGGGATTGTTAGTAATGCGGGCTGCCCAGTTCCATTGCTAGCAATATACCCGTATAATATATCAGGTCGATCTCCATAAGATCCTCCTGGAAACCATCCTGTTGATTTTTTTTCTATGCAATTTAGAATGGCAAACAAACTGACGGCCCACCTGATGGAAAGTTGATTGGCAACCGCAGTCAGACTTTAGAGATGTTTTAGAGGGACGCTGCTGCCCATTCCTCTGCCCTCTCTTAGTCGCCTCTTACGACACCCACGGGAGAGAAAGGGTTGGTTTATGCTATGCCGAGATCACACGACTTTTATTGTACACAATAATAATACATATAGAAACCTGTCAATTGAAAGCAAACGTTCAAAGGCGGGCGTAACTCTGAAAGAGTTCTCTCCCAGTCAACTCACAGTAAGGAACAACAATATTAGCAGGTGGAAAGGAAGGGGTGGCCCGAACACACACGGCGAGTAAGGAATAATGTAGCATTCTAATGATGTAGGAATTTTCGAAATCGGTTGAGTAATTTTTGAGTTAATTCATTACAAACATACGAAAATACAAATATTTCCTTATACTACTACAATATAAATAATGTTAGTGTTAAGATTAATGCATATTAAAAAAAAGATATTAAATGAGAAAGAAAAACATCTCGAAATACTATTATTCTAATATGAATACAATAAATAAATATAATTACTAAACTAAACGATCATACCACATACAAACACAAATTGAAGTGTCCCCCATACTGGTTTTAAATTTATTTTTTCTCTATTTTTCGTTGCCGTTCGCACGTATATTTCACCTTTTCATATTGTCCCGTATCATAATCTTGATTAATTTATTGTCTACATCTGCATTGCATGCAATAATTGCAAAACTCCAGCCTATTTCTCAAAATAATACTAATTCTCGTTTTACTTTTGTTACAAAACTAGCAAGTTCACATGTATGTTAATTCGTTTTTAACAACGCACAATGGCGGGAACGATCACAAAGGTTCTAAATACAAATTAGATTCCAAATTCAAACATTCACTGATTAGATTCGAACACAGCCGAGTCACGTCGCACCAATTAGAAAACGGTTCCGAATTAATTTGAAAATGGAACACTCGATTTTGATGTAGTGGAATCTGTCATGTGCCTTTTGTGATAGCAAACAATTGATTTTCAAACTTACATTCCATTCATGAGAGTTCAAATTCAATTATCTCCCGTTTCATTGAAGCTCATGAGATAATAGGTGAAATACGGAATGTCATTCACAGTTCACTGTTCTATTGTAATTTCGATTTTATTCCAATAGACATAGAACCAATTATGGCTTGTCGCTGTGCTCTTGTAATTAGTAAATGTATTCTACTCGGGCCTCAGAGATCGCGTCTTGTTCCTTGTAATTATGAAAAGCCATTAACTGTACCACCCTTTTTTATTATTCCACTTAATTTTATGCGCTGTTTTGCTCAAACGAATGACTCTAAATCTTAGATAGTCTTTGAAGATCCAGCTAAATGCCTCTATGTGTTTTCACTGACGTTTTTACTTTGTTCCAATCCATTTAACGTTTTATGCAAAATTTATAGTTTATGAGCTTCTTTCTTTCAAGTCACAAATTCCGGATTTTTAAGATTAAAAATCTTAAAATATTCAATTTGGCATTACTCTTACATTGGTATTATTAGTATATTATCTAATATTAAGTATAAAACTGAAAGTTTTTCAAAATGCTTGGATGTTTAGGAGTTTGGATGCTTAAATATTTGTTACTCAAATATGAATAACGACTTAACAGATTTGAATAAAATTCGATGCTTTAAAATACTGCTGTGGAATAGTTTTATGTATTAATTTGATTTAAAGATTTAAATAAAATCCATGTCGTCCCGACCAGATAATAATTAGATGCGGTACTGATCATATTAAATCCTAGCAAATTTATTTCTCCGACTTTCAGTATTAGTTCTCTATTTTTTTTTAAATCTGTTTATTTTCACCATAAAAATCAAAATGACAAACATACCAAATAGCACATAGATTTGCTTGTTTACATACACGTAACAATTTTGCATATGCTCCAATCACGTTTCTACTGCTTTAACAGTTGTACTTTGTTTTATCCCATCTTTCTTTCATCAACATTGGCTATGTTTCTGTTTGAAGGATGAAATATAGCTATAATATTTTTGGATGATAGTGATCATACCATAAATACCACAAAGTATATAATATTACACATCGTGCTTTTTGTATCTATAGATGACGTTTACCACAATCTATCAGATGGCCTATGTTGCATCAAATAAAACTTGTCCTAACAATATCGTTATTTTGTCCACAGATTGCGTCCACATTCAACTCTACAAGGACCTGAAGGAGAGACAGAAGAATGGGCAGACGAAGGCGTCGCTCTCGTTACAGCAATACTTGGGCTTCGAGTCGGGGTTCACACTTGACAAGGAATCGAACACGCTCGCCTTACTGTGCGAAGATGTCATTCCAGTTTTAGCGTTTGATACTAGAGAAATTTTGATACAATGGAAAGTTAAGGTGAGTGGCAATTTGCCTAGTTAAAAGGTCGCTTATTATTTTTCTGTTACGCCTTAACCTTACACAATTCCTCTCCACTTTAAGGTTGCTTGGAAGAGACCGATTAGCGATAACGCCACCCACTGTTGCCTCTTTATCTTGCTTTTATGTAAATAATTTATAATTTTTTTTTTTATAATCTGTATATTTAAACGATAAAGAGTTTTCATTCATTAATTGCTAAAATTGCAATATACCAAAATATAATATGTTTATTTAATACTAGCTTTTTGCCCTCTACTTTGTACGCATGGATTTCATAAGTAAAAAAACTCATGACACAAACCACTTCTAGATGGCATAATCTAGATATATTATACACCAGATTTTTAACTGGACCTTCAGGAACTCAACTGTAGCTGTAATAATAGTATTTGCATGATTCTGGAACAAATATACAAACAAACAGACAGTATGTCAAATGAAGAAGCCTTTAAAATTATGTTATCGTATCTATAGATACCAGCAATACCACATTGCTTGCATTTTACCATCCTATAAAAAGCTTTTATTAAACTGGCAAACAAGCTGACGGGTCACCTGATGGAAAGTGGTAACCATCACCTGTAGACATGAGCAATACCATGGACCAACAGAGTATACTGTTTCGCCCATGATGCCCCCCATGCGTTGTCATTCCTGAGGACTCATGTGTTATTCCTCTGTACCCTGTAAATTAACTGCCATATCCCACCCTTCAAACCGAAATACAGCCATGCAAACACAATTGCTTCACGGTAGGAACACGAATGGGACAGAGGTGCCTAAGCAAACGACTTTTGTACAGTCTCCCTCTGGTAAAAATCGTCTGATTTTTTATTTAAGAATCTCATGTGATTGTAATCCCATGTGAAAACCTCGGCGAGGATTTCCTAAGCCTGATCATCTGTGAGGGAGTTCCTCTGAAATCTGTGCATTTAAATATTTTAAATTTAATGTGTCTATCAAACATCATTTCATTTAAAAGTTTATTCAGTATTATATATATATATATATATATATATATATCATATATGTATTACTTAACAAAATCTTAGATCCAAGACGTTGAAACATAAGGAAAAACCGGAATTTATTATAATGGTTGTCATTATCTCAGTACTGGGCCCACATCTCACCCTGAGGGACCCTTAATTTTAAACGAGGTGGGACATAACGGGATTTGATGCTCGAAAACTGGAGTTACTCGACTTTAGAGGAACTTCCCTTGTGGAAGTAAAGTAATCTAATCACGATACTAATATTACCCTGTCTAAATATAGTTGCAGTAAAACAAAGCATCACTTTACATTATTAAATTTAGTTGTATAATAGTATATGTTCACGCTAGGGCCTAAATAAGGTACGTAAAATGAATCGAGTGTCAGTGCAGACACTGCTCCTTATCTCGTTTTATTAGGGTCCAAGTACAGTCGTAACTTAAACATTATGCATTTTTTTTTAAACAATTTTACTCATATTTAATTATCCCTCAGGTGCAATACAACCTCGGGAGTAGCAAAGAGTTCGCAGCAGTCATTATATCATCTCCCACATCAGCGAACATCCGCCCGGGGCCTGTGAGACTCCACGCGTGCGGCCCAAGATTGGCATTGTGTGCTTCTCGCCCCCCTGAGGTGCTAGCGCTTTGGGACGTCAAACTCTTGAGGTAAGATGACCTTCCATATCAAACTCGCACAATTTAAGATTTTCGTCGACCAAGAAAGAGGATAAACAGAAATGTTTGCCTTTATCATGTCAGCCGTTAGCTTTCCACTGCTGAACATAAGTCTTCTCCATAAGAGGAGTTTTCGCAGCAGTTGCCACGTTTGGCAGGCAGATTGAAAACCAAAATTAAGTTTTTAGTGATGTTTTAAAAAGGACACTGCTGGCAATCCTTCTATCATTAAGTTCCCTTGCCTTTAATTTATACCCAAATATCAACCGTTACGTCGTGACCTTAACTCATTCAAAAGGTTTGAAACATCGGCAAGATTGAATAAATCATTAATGCCGAATTCAAACTACATATAATTCTGCTCTCGTTCCTTTCCGGGTCCGATGTCGGTCTAGTAAAATATCATGACGTTATAAACAATGTATGTACACATACATTATGTATTCACACTACAGCCCAATATGGTGCCATCTCTCGAAGTGTTTCTACTTGCCACTGATAAGGCTGGTAACTGACCGAGATCAGATCGAGAATAAACTAAAACTGGAATTTTAAATCTGACTTTACAAGACTGATATCGAATCGAGAATGAATCGAGATTGACAATAAAGATTTACACTATAAAGTGTAAATCCATCCTAATCGTAATGTAAATCTAGCCTAAAATAATTAAAAAAATCTTCTGTAATTTTTATCATAATATCATTTAATAATATAATTGTTTTTATTTCATATAGACAAGAAAAATATGGGTTACATATATCAATCATATTAAATTAGCATTTAGTATATATTAAAAAAAATACTTTTTGAAATGTAAATGTAGTCCTAACTCCTAAACCTATATAAACCTTAAGTTTAGAGTAACTTTCTCCATCAAGATATCCTGTTACCCTTAAATTTCGATGCGAACATGGCGCCGAAATATCATCTATTTATCGAAATCCTGCCGTTGCATGGAAAACAAATACTCCCACATCTTCAAATATTTGTATTCGGCGATCTGAGCGTAAAGTCTCCAAATCAAACACGTATTGTAATGCCAACATAATGAATCGCATTATCTTGGATCGTCACATCACGACAAAGTTCCGACTTCTTAGACCTGATTACCGAAGCAGTAACACGAAACAATTACGGGCATGTTTCTTTTGTAACAAAAGGAAACAATAGAAACCTAAATCTAAACATCTTAATCCAGTTAAGAACTAACAGGCAATAAATGTTTGTACATGGTAATATGAAAATCTGTAGGTATGTTTTTGATTGGCAACTAAATCCGGAAATTTTAGAAGAAATCAAAATTTTTTTATACAACTTAGAAGGACAAACAAGCTGACGGCCCACCTGGTGGAAAATGGTAACCGTCGCCTATAGACATGAGCAGTACCATGGACATAACAGAGTATACTGTTTCGTTCATGATACCCCCCATGCGTTGTCATTCCTGAGTACACAAATGTTATTCCTCTGTACCAAATAACCCCTTCAAACCGAAACACAGCCATGCAAACACAACTCCTTCACGGTTGAAATACAAATGCGAGAGAGGTACCCAAGCAAACGACTTTTGTACAAAAAATAAAATAAATAGGCCCGAAATTTTAGAAAAAAATAAATATAAAATGGAAGAAATGTCTTAAAAATAAGCCGTGCCGTATAGTCCCGGCATAAATTGGGTCACCTCTGCCTTTTCCGTGGATAAAGAGACTAAAAGAAGAGGACCGTTAGGTCAAAAGATGGACAGCAGCGTTTTAAAGTAAAGTACCTTAAAGTATCACCAAAGCCTAACTGCGGTTGCCAACTCCTCTGCCAAGCGTCACAATTACTGGCAAACCCCCCAATAGGGAGAGACCTATATTCAACAATGGACAGTATAATGTTAATGGCAAATATAATGTTGATGATCTTAAAATTAATAATAAAAATAGCAATTTTTTTAAACTCAATACTCAAATGTGTAGCAAAATTTATAAAAACAAAACCAAAATCAAAACGTCTTTAAAACGAATCTTAAACATTTGAAACTTTTCTCCATGTACGTGTACCTCTAAATCTTTATTCTAGGATTGATAATCCAAATTAGTTAAAAATAAATTAGGTACACATCATTACTGTAACACCAAATACAACAAAACAGACAAACAATTGTTTCGTTTATTTATTATTTTATCTAGAACATCATATTTAAACTCAAATTAATTGTTTATATTTATTTATATATTACTTTAATGCCCAGTAAAATTCTATGTACATTTGGTGGATTTGGCACCGAGCATTGTTCTCTACCAGGCAACCATTGAGCAAACCGAGAAATAACTAGTAATTATATCTATAGAGATTCCAAATTCAAAAATCCAAAGTCAAATGAAAACCAAATCATCACAACAATTGAGTGATTTAAAATACTTGCAATTTTCATATTTTTTATGTATGTGCTTCAAAAATTTGTTATATAATCGTTAATGTTACTGTTTACCCATACAACAGAGGTTCTGATCTATATCATTAGATGCCAACCATTCAATTACCAAGCACGCCATACCTGCTTAACCTTGATGTTATTTTCCATCAACGTACGAAAATGGGCTTTGAGAGTGTTAGGAAAATAAAGCCTTATACGTCAATGTGTATAGAAAGCTTTCACCTCAATTTTCGTCTACATCCTCATTTTACGCTATCTCAATTTGATCGTAAAGAATTTTGATAACTAGTTAAAATATTTTGTAGGTGCACTTAAGGAAGTTTCGGAGTGAACTCTAATTCGAAAGAACCTGTTCGAGCATCGATTTTCATAATATTTATAAACACTGACCCATATAATGTAATTGTAGAAAACCCCTTTGAACACCAAAATGAATCAGTCATGTTCAAAAGAACGTGGCATATAGCTGAGTGACACCATTTTCGTGTAAATATTTTCATAATTAAGTGTAAAATTAAGCACTAAATCAATATTTTTCCTTCTTCATTTCTTTCTTTTTTTCCAAAATTTAATACTATGTTACTATATGTGCCGTTGTATTATGTTTGTGTACTTATTTTTATTAAATAAATATACTATATTTATGTCATAAAAACAGAAACATGCTTTTTGTACTTTTTAATACGTAAAACTGTTGTTATTTTATTATTTATGTATTATATATTTTTATTATATTATATATTCAATTTTAATTAGATATTATTGAGTTTAACGGTACGGTTTTTATCCTTGAACAGTCTGTAGTTTGACTTCTCAAAGGTTGACTGTAAGAGATCCCTTTATGGGATAAGTCCGCCATTGTATATTAAATCATTTAATATGCCCAATATAGATTATGTACAATAAATATTTTAACAACAATAACAACTTTGAAACTATTATTGAATGAATCTTTACATGTATATTTAACTACACACGCTGTAAAGTTATAACTATACTATATCATACCAGCTGTTAACTGTCCACTGCTGGACATAGGCCACTCCCTATTCAGTAATTTTGTCAGTAGTTGCCACGCTTGGCAGGCGGATTGGCAACCGCAGTTAGGCTTTGATGTTTTAAGAGAAACGCTGCTGCCCATCCCTTGCCATCCTTTAGTCGCCTATTACGACATCCACGGGAAAAGAAGAGGTGGTACATAATCTATCAAGTGTTATATTAATCAACACCCTATGTAAATCCCATTGGATTTTAAACTAACATGAAAAAGAATTACTTAAACGAAAAGTACTGTTTTTTTAGTGTTTTTGTAAATATTGTGGTAGAGCCACGCTGTAATCCTATATGGTATTGCAGCATGAATGGGCCGGCTACAGAATACCGACGCTAAGTGGTTGCACTTTTATTGAGATCACATTCCGTATGATGAGTGAGGGAGTCCGGAGGCCCATCCCATACCCATCCCATTTTTCCTATTCCTAAATTTTCCCCAACCCCGTCCCCCTATCTTACAACACGCAACCATGGCAGTGGAATTAACATACCCCAGGGAGGTACCAGTAACCATGTTGCTGGAGAATCCTCTCTCGAGCAACCACGCTCGGGCTGCCCTGCGTATTCTGGAGGGGGCAAAATTCCGCTCTTTGGAACCAAGGGCAAACGAAGCAGGATTTCTGCGGCATCCCCTTCGCTCGATGTGAGCTTCTGCAATATCAGGGGATTGCATTCTAACTTAAACGCTGTTCACCACCACCTAGAAACGGCGCGGCCGGCATTGCTCTTTCTAACGGAGACACAGATATCCTCTCCAAACGAAACTTCATACCTGACGTATATAAACTTGAACATTGTTTTGTTTCGCGTGCCGGTGTATGCGCGTATGTCAGAGAGGATATCTGCTGTCGCCGCCTTGGAATTCTTGAAGGTGCGGACCTGTCTATTTTATGGCTGCGCGTAGACTGCAATGACCATCCTCGCGTCTATGCATGCCTATACAGGTCCCACAGCGGTAACATCGAAACCGACCAACTCATTGAGCACGTCCAAATGACTACAGATTCCCTGCTCGAACAGATTCCTTCCGCTGAAGTCGTGATTCTTGGCGATTTTAATGCCCACCATACCGAATGGCTTGGTTCACGTACAACCGACTATGCGGGAAGATCTGTTCATGACTTTGCTTTGGCTTATGGTCTGACGCAGCTTGTTTCCTCGCCTACGCGAATACCTGATGTGTTGGACCATTCATTTCACTGTTGGACCTTCTGCTGACCACCCATATGTGATTTCCGTCGAAGCTCCGCTTGGATCGTCGGATCACTTCTGGTGCGGAGCGAGGTGCCTCTCATGAGTCCGATTCCACCACGTTCCACGGGTAGACGTCGTGTTTGGCACTACAGGTCGGCAGACTGGGATGAGATGCGGATTTTTTTCGCATCTTACCCATGGAGGCAGGTTTGCTTCGCACTGAGGGACCCCGACGCCATCGCCAATTCCATCGCCGATGTGGTGCTTCAGGGAATGGAATTATTTATTCCTAACTCTGTGGTACCTGTCGGTGGGAAAT